TTTTCATCTTAGTATATAAAATGACTATAATATAGGGTGATCGTTTCTATTAAATTGAATCTGCTGTGATTTCTTTATTCACTTCTGTTGCAAAAGAAAGCGGACATTCATGGCTGCCTAAGATTTACTAAAATTACTAAGTATGTTTTTTTGTGATTATCTTTACTGTTATTTTGGAGCTCAGGTTTTCTCTCAGGCCTCAGAGTCTACATTTTCAAATTACCTCTGCTTTTAATGTTTAGTATTTTAGAGAATGCTAAAATACCTTTAAGTTTTATGACTTAGAAAATGAAAAAGGTGCCGGGTTTGGATTCGGTATCTATAATTTCTGTCTTTGATATTATTATATGTTTGTATGAAAACCAGACAAACACTTGTGGTTATTTATTGGCCCATCACATAGCTCTTAAATTCAACTGAAGTCCCTTGGTGTCAGGCACTTCTATACGGAGATACTCGGTGTCCTGTGTAATATAATGCTTATGGTCAGTACTTCTAGCACATAGGAAAGCAGATGAGTTAATGAGGTGTCAGTTATATCTTGTGTCCCAGTTTAAGTGTTCCAGTCTGCTGTTTATCAAGGATTTTAAAAAGTCAGGCTTGTGAGAGAGTAAATAAATTTTATTCCTTAGAGGATAGGAAGGAAAAAAGAAGCATTGACTTATAGGGATGTAGTATTTTTCTTTTGATAACAGTTTTTCCAGATGATTCAGATATTTTGAAGTGGAGTGAACATTCCATGACAGTGCGCTCTCACTTTGAAATGAGGAAACTAAAACTCAGGGAGTTTAAATCACTCAAAACTTTTTGGAAATTATGATATTACTAAGCTTCAAGAAAAAAAAAAAACAATAAATGAAGACCAAAATAAAGTACATCGAAACAAAACCACTCCTCTCCCCATGCTCCTTATACACATGTCACCTTCTTGGTGACAGGATTTATGCTCTATTTTATTTAAGACTATTTGGATTTTAACCTGTCTCAAAATCTTCTCTTCTCCATTCTATCACCACTCAATATTTTGGGAAAATAAAAATACCATTCACCAATTCAACAGAATTTTTATTTTTAGTGTTTTGAGTCAGGGTCTTGCTCTGCTGTCCAGGTTGGAGGGCAGTGCCACGATCACAATTCACCACAGCCTCAGCCTCCTGGGCTCAGGCGATCCTTCCACCTCAGCCTCCTGAGTAGCTGGGACTACAGGTGAATGCCACCACTCTTGGCTAATTATTTGTAGAGACGAGTTCTCACTATGTTGCCTAGAATGGTTTCAAACTCCTGGGCTCAAGCAATCCTTCCACTTTGACCTCTCAAAGTGCTAGGATTATAGGTATGAACCACTATACCCGGCTTCAACTGAATTTTTAAATCATGTGTTCTTAAAATCTTAAAAATTTTTTTAATGCCTTTTGGGTTTTGATGAAAGTAACATCTTCAGAATAACATTTTTAAATGCATAAAATACATGGAATAAGAATAGCAATCAATTATACTGAACTACGACTACCAAAATACTAGGAAATTCATTTGTGATATAGTAATTTACTTCTTTAGAGATAAGGGTCTATGTTTCCCAGGTTGGACTTGAACTCCTGGGCTCAAATTATCTTCTCATCTCAGCCTCTTTTGTAGCTTGCCATCATAGTCTGCTTTGTGCTTATATTAAATAGCAAGACCTAGTGGCAGTCTAATCATTACCAAAATTTCAAAATAACAATGAGTAAGAACAATTTGAGAGACTCCAACAACTCTAATTTAACACAAAAATATCTGTGATTTCTAGTGGTGTGTCTCAGACATTACTAAAACATACTTTTTACTTAGGAGTTAATAAAGATATCATTTGTTTCTCATCTAAGTTCATGGGCCTTATGGTAGGTTTGTTACTTTAGTAGCTCCCCTGAGTACCCCCTCTGACAGTGACTCAGCTTGGCCATGTGACTACCTTTGGTCAGTGAGAAGTCAGCAAACCAAACTCAAGCAGAGTCCTGTCCATTGGGCATACCCTTTTGGAAAGGCGTTCTACACAGGGAGAAAACTGGTGTAACCTTTTCAAGGATGAAAAAGCAAGAAAAACCAATCTTTTTATCACTCCAGCTGAGCCCAACTTCCAGCCACGTAGTAAGCCCAGGTGAGGCCAGCAACTCACAGAATTATGAGAAAACAAATGAGATAGTAGATAGCAACCAGTTTTCCCTCCCTCCCTCCTTCCCTACTTCCTTCCTTCCTTGCTTGCTTCCTTCGAAAGCAGGGTTTATTAGAGGATAGAAAAGCTTCCACGGTGGAAGGGGACCTGAGGGGGTGGCCTTGGTTTTTGTTTTAGGTGGCTAAGTTTTGAGCCTTTAGTTAAGCCGTGGTACACAAATGATACTCACTGAATTCTGTCTACTGATTTTTTTGGGCCCTGGATTTAGAGCCCCTGTGAATGTTTTTCACAGCCAGTATTTCTGAGCTCCCACAGTTTGCTTGGTGGTCACCTATCCCCTTGATCCTCAAAGGTCGGGTCGCAGACCAGCAGCATCTTCCCTCCCTAGAGCTTGCTTACCAGAAATGCAGGCTCTCAGTCTTCCTCCAGACCTATCGAGTCTGAAGCTGCCATTTGACACGATCCCCAGGTGATTTCTACAAGCATTCAAGTTTGCCAAATACTTGAAAGTATGCACACTAAAGCGTGAGAAGACGAGCAAACCCCTTATCTTATAATTAATTTTCCCTTTCGGAAATTTATTTCATTTTCCAATAGAACTATTCTCCACTGAGTGCCCGTTTCATCCCGTCTGCGGTGAGATGAAGCCTTACTATTTCCCATTCGAAGCCCCGCACTCGGGAGGCTGCGGCAGGAGGATCGCTGGAGCCCAGAAGTTCGAGGCTGCAGTGAGCTATGTTCGCGCCAACAAACTCCTGTCTGGACCACAAAGTGAGATCCTGACTCTAAAAAAAAAAACAAAAACAAAAATAAAAACAAAAAATCCCCAAAAGCCCTAGGCGTGCTGTATGGGGTTTAAAATGTCTGCAAACTTGTGGAAATATATTCACGAGTTAATGAATAAAACCTCCCAAACAACTAAACAATAAACGCAGACACTGAACATCGCCGTGTCGGATACGCTAGACCTCCACCCAAAGTTTAATGCTGCAGTCTTTAAGAACTGCGCGGGGGGTCTGCCCACCGAGGCCCCTGCCCAACTGGGGTTAACCGGAGGAGGGGTGGCAGCCTCTCATCCTAGTGCGTCTGGGCCCCGCCCCCGCGGGAAGGAGGCCAGCTCAGTTTGTCCCCACGCAGCTCCCATATAAGGCGGGCCCCGCCCCCTCCCAGGGCTGCGAGGACGCCGCGCTGGCTCCCTCGCGGCGTCTCAGATCGACCGGCCGCCACTGCGCATGTCTGGTCCGCTCGCCCGCTCCAGGGTTCCGTGCTCCGCGTTATCCCGCCGGCCGCCGGTCGAATCCGCACCCAGCTCTGCGCCAGGGCTAGGGAAAAACCCGGGGATTTCAGGGCTTTAGAAATTTAAGAGGATGCTCAGATTCCGGCCATAGGGTCCTGGGGAAGGTGATGGAATAGGGATTCCTTGCCAGACATCATCTCACTTAATGCATTCACCAGCTCCAGGGCTTGTTCCCGATTTGCAGAGGAGGCAAAGACCTCGGGGTTGTCCAGTGATGCAGATTGGAGGACTCCAAGATCATGTTGGAGCTGGGGCTCAAAACAGGAGCCTAGCCTCCATTCCTTGAGTTCCCCATTATAGCTTGGCTTCCTGGTAGGGCAGCCTACCAGGTCCTGCCCCCGGGTTTGAACCTGGGTCTCTGCAGGCCAGCTTCCAGGTCCTTGGGAGTGTGGAATACCAGCGGGGAGGGGACAGGATGGAAGGGGCATAGAAGTCAAGGTTGACCTGCGGGTCACAGATGCTGATCTTGAGGACTGACTCGCCAGTCCCTATCCTTCAGCTTGGGTGCTTGGGTGCTGGGCAAGAAGGGTGAGGTTTATGGCTAAGCTCGGGTGGTCTGTAGTGCAGAGATGCCCTGGAAGGAGAGGCAGGAGGAAGGAGGCAGAAATGGTATCGTGGTAAATGTGACCTGCAGGGAGCCCTAGGGCTCTCATGGGTGGGCTCCTGGGGCTGTGCAAACGAATGCTTGCATGCATGGATGACTGACTGAATGAGTGCACTTACATTACAGGGGAGGGGAGCCAGCTGGAAGCTCATTTTTACCAGAGGCCCTATGCCTTAGCCTTAAAAAAAGATAAAGGTGATCCTCACCCCTAACTCCCTTATGACTAATACAGAAATGGCTAAACTGTAACAAAAGTGTAAAACAAGTCCCATTGAGATTTGATTCCAGCCAATATCACAACATTCCGCCCGCATTTGAAACATCCACCACCCTTTACATTTCCCTTCTCGGTACCCTGAATTGAGGAGTCCAAAACTCTCGCTTGGACCTCCTTAGGGAAGCAGAGAAGGCCCCAGCGGAGTTGGCCACTAATGAGCTGTGATCATCTTTTCTGGGCCTCAGTATGTTTGTCAAATGGGTGAACTGACTCATGCATCGCTGGGTAAAGCCAGGTCCTAGTTATGGGATGAAAACTGATTTTGGTTATCTGACCCCAGGACTGGAGTCCTTGCTCTGGCCCTAAGGAGCTTTAATCCCTTTCTCCTCAGTTTTTCAGGGGATGAGGATGGGGTCTAGCTATTCTGAACTCACCGGCCCCTGGTCTCCCTTGATGACCTCCGGGCCGCAGTTCACAGCCTGCCGCGACCCCCGCAACCAGGCGACCTTGGGAGGCGGTGCCTCAGCCCCGCCCCTCAGCCCCGCCCCTCAGCCCCGCCCCAGCTCCGCCCCTCCGTGCGGTCCCAGCCCCGCCCCGCCCCTCCACGTCTCCCCAGCCCCGCCCCGCCGCGTCTCCCAAGTCCCGCCCCAGGCCCTCCCCCTCCGCGCCGCCTCCAAACCTCGGCGCGCGGATCACACGGGCCGGAGCCGCTCTGGGCATGCTCAGTGGCCGGGCAGGTGGGGCCGCCGCGGAACTCCAGGTCCGGCCCGGAGCAGAGAGGCGGGGGCGAGAGGGAAGTGGGCGGGAGCTGCGATCCGAGTCGCCGGAGTTGCGGGCGGCCACGGGGCTGTGGGCTGGTGGGAGCCCACGCGGGCCTGGGCGGGATGAGCCATGGCATCGGTCAAGGTGGCCGTGAGGGTCCGGCCCATGAATCGCAGGTGAGTGGGGCCGCCCGCGCCCCGCCCCTCGTCGCACTCCCACCCAGAGGAAGCCTTTCTCCGGCTCCTATCACAGCCTGGACTTGAGTGCCACTGATCCCCCACTGGCCCGCCCGTGCCCTCTGGAGGCCCGGGGCACTTTGTGACTTGCTGTCCCTTTCACACTGTCCTGGAGGGGACCCCGGGGGTAAAGAGTTCACGAGGCCAGGGAGGAGATTCCTACAAATTCCTCCCGTCTCGTTAACTTGAGGAGGTTTGCTTGTTCCCTTTTTAAAAAGCATCAAGGGGTCATTTCCATGAAGCTGTAACATACTTGAGAAGGTGGGAGTGATGAGGGGGAGACCATGAGCTGTCAGGAGAATCCCTCATTCGTGCCAACTCAGAAGTTCTCAAACTATGAACCCTGCTACTTTTTAATCTCTTAGAGATGATTTTGATCTCCTGAATGTGGACCCTAACTTCTAATCAGTAATTTAGCAGTTCTTAACTTCAGGCTAGAGGGTGGATGGGAAAACTGATTCCTAGAAGTTTTGACTCCTAGAAAAAAGTCAAGGACGCCTTACACGTGTCTGAGAGGAAGAGCTGTAAAAACAATTTAATCTTGTTATACATTTCTACAAAGGAATGCTTTTCGAAGTGATACCTCTCTTCATTCACTGGAAAATAATCTCTGCTTCCTTCCCAGTGACCTGTTTATAGTCAGTTTAGAAAGAGCCTTTGGAAAAACAGAGTTAGTTTGACTTAAAAGAATGAATTCCACCTACATGGGAGGTGTCCTCCAAGTTAATAGTCACAGTTCATGCAAAGCCATTTGTTTTATTGACACTTCACTTGAGTTCGTGGTCATGTGACTTACCATATGACCTTTCTGCTTTAGTCATTTCATCTTGTGGAGGTCAATGTTTGGTGATTCTAATCTCTGATTGGGGCATCAGAAGATCATGAAACCAAGAGACTTCCAGAACCTAAGTTGACTCATCTGACTCTGTTTTTCTTTTGGCAAGTGGGGAATCATTATTCTGGTTTGTAACCATTGAAAACATGTGCTTCTAGAAATCTGCTTTTTTTTTTTTTTTTTTTTTTGAGTTATTTCCAAAGTTGTTTAGGGTAAGAGTTTGACTTTTTCGTAGACTTTAAGAATATTTATGTTTCTGTGTATACGCAATCATAGAAGATAAACAGACCCTAAAGTCATTTAGGTAATTTAGAAAACTTTTTCTTTATTATGGATTTATATGTGTATAGAAATTATTTTTCTTCTTTGGAATAATATGAGCCCACGCTAGAAAATTATATTGTGTAACTCTAGACAGTATTTGTTAAGCACCTACCAAATGCATAGTGTTATGCTTGGTGCTATCTGGGGTGTGAGGAAAATGATGCCTGGTGAGTGACTTCTGGAAGCCCACCATCTGGTGAGGGAGGGATTATGTACAGGCATGACTCTTCTGAGACATTGGGCCTGCTGGGAGGGGTCCTGTGAGTTTAGTGCCTTGCCAGTGTAGGCCTGGAGCCCAGGCATTTGGAGCGATGGCAGGAAGCAAGTCCAGAGGCCATGGGCTTTGAGGAGGTAGATTAACGTTCAGGTGGTGATCATGCTCTCAGCAGAGAACTCTGGTGGCATCAGGAGTGGGACAAGAGGTAAGAAGGAGCCTTCTGGGCTGGAGGTGGAATTGGGAAACCAGGATAGATACAGACACTATTCACTGGCAGAAATGACAGGATTTGGCAACTCATTGGATGGGAAGGATGGGAAGAGCAGAGTCATGAACTGAGGTTTGATGCTCAAGGAGTGGGACAGTTTGAGGAAGGTGGATGTTGAAGTTGGTGTGCTCTCATGAATATGTAGAGCTATATAAGATGCAGTAAGTCAAATACAAGCACAGTGTTCAGCACGGGGCGAGTGCTGTAGGCATGTTGCCCTTATTTGTTATCTGACATGTGGGAAGGCATCCATCCCTCTGCTGGAGGTATTCAGTGGACAGTTGAACCTGTGGGTTTAGGTCTCAGGGCATTCGAGGATTGATGTTTGGAAATCTTTTGTACATGGATGACAGCTGAAGATTGTTAGGTGAGAAGAGAAAGGAGCCTGGGATTGGATACTGGGATGCACCTTTATGGGATTCCAGGGAGGAGATTGGCTTGCAGCCTGCACAGGTGAACAAGCACAGCAGGTTGTGAGTATCAGGGAAGGGAGAAGAGTCTCCTGGAGGAGGTGGTGGGAATTGGCATCAAATGTTGCCAAGACGATGGGAGTAAATTTAGGTCCTTGGTCTTGGGTACAAGGATACTGGTAGCCTCTTAAGAGCAATTTTAAGGAGAGTCAATGATCCAGAAGAAGTTGGCGATGAAGTACAAAGAGATCTATAAATGGCCAGCCCAACATGAAAATTATAATACCTATAAGAAGGCTTTTTAAATTTTTTTGTCAAGGTCTCACTTTGTTGCCCAGACTGGAGTGCAGTGGCATGATCGTGGCTCACTGCAGTCTTGACTTTCTAGGCTTCGCTGATCTTTCTGCCTCAGCCTCCCAAGTAGCTGGGACTACAGGCATGCACTACCATGCCCACCTAATTTTTAAAAATTTTTTTGTAGGGACGTGGTCTTGCTATATTGCTCAACCTGGTTTCAAACTCCTGGGATCAAATGATCCTTTTGCCTTGGCTTCCCAAAGTGCTGGGATTATAGGTGTGAGCCAGCATGCCCAGCAAGAAGCCTTTTTTTTTCTTTCCTAAACCAGTGAGATGGATAAAAATTAACTGAGCATCAATTGCTGATGAAGGAGTAGAGAAACAGACACTTCTATGCTGGTCATGGAAGCAAGAAGGGTCAAAACTTTTGAAGCTTTGGTATTGGGAAATTTGACTAACTACCAAGATTAGAAATCTATAAACCCGATGATCTGACAATTTCATTTCTGATTTTATCATATTTCTAATTTTTATTATATGGATTATAGTCCTACCTACCAACATGTATGTGTAAGAATGTTTGCCGCATCATTGTTTATAACAACAACAAAAAATCATAAATGAGCTGAATTTACAGAGACGGGGAATTTGTTCAATTATGGCGTAAATCACTTGGTGGACTGTCATGCAGCACTTAGAGAGAGGGTGTTGATCTTAAAAGAATTCCAAGGTAGGGGACGAGAAAAGCAAGATATCCACACGTATACACTTGTAGTACAGTGAGTAGACTTGTTTGTGTGTGAATGTTCAAAAATGTATAGACTGGGAGCAGTGGCTCATGACTGTAATCCCAGCACTCTGGGAGGCGGCGGGGTAGATTGAGCCCAGAAATTCAAGACCAACCTCGGCAATATGGAGAGACCTTGTCTCCACAAAAAATTAGGACATCATGGTGGCATGTGCTTGTAGTCTCTGCTGCTCAGAAGGCTGAGGCAGAAGGATCGCCTGAGCCCAGAAGGTTGAGGGTGCAGTGAGCTATGATTGTGCCACTGCACTGCAGTCTGGATCACAGAGTGAGACACTGACTCAAAAAAAAAAAAAAAGTTCACACACACTCATGAGTTTTTTCTGTATAGCACGATTTACAGGAAACTGAACAGTTACCTCCTCTAAAGAGGAGGGTTAATGAGGACTCTGTTAGGCAAAGATGGAAGGCTTTTCCTTTTTACTGTTTGAATTTTTACTTTTCTCAAGTATAGTTTTATAATTACTAATTAAGATTAATAATTAACCCATCAGTGCTTGTTTATGTAATTTTAAAAAGTTACCTAAAACATTCATTGGCACTGGAGAAAGAAGCTTCAGTTAGTTGTTTCAGTTAGTTGGGGAGGATTGAAGAAAGTTGTTAATGATTTTTTTCTTTATTTTTTTGAGTTGGAGTCTTACTCTGTCGCCCAGACTGGAGTGCAGTGGCCACTCCTGGCCACTACAACCTCGACTTGCTGGGCTCTGGTGACTCTTCTGCCTCAGCCTTCCAAGTAGGTGGAACTACAGGCACGCGCTACCATGCCCGGCTGAATTTTGATTTATTGTAGAGATGAGGTCTCGCCAAGTTGCCCAGGTGGGTCTCAAACCCGCGGGTTCAGGCAATCTGCTCACCTCAGCCTCCCAAGGCGCAGGATTACAGGCTGAGCCACTGCACCCAGTGATGATTTTTTTTTTAATGTTAATTTTTTCAGTCCTCCTTGAAGGAACATAATTGCTTGACTTAGGCCAAGATGTGATAGTTTGTTATTACTGCCTTATGGCTTACAGTTATGTGGCAGAAGAAGTCCTTTCAAATGCAAAAGAGTGATGATATTGCTAGGCCTTATAGCAGCCACCTTTATTGAGAATTTGTCCGTACCAGTCTCTCTGGCCTGAGCACCAGGTATAAAAATCTAGTTTAACCCTTTGCACGTGGATGTCCCCTCTGAGGGGACATCATAAATCTAGCAAACCATTCAGATGTCCCCTCTAAGGGAACGTACAGAGGTTGTTGGCGATTATACAGGACAAACTTATGCCAATGCAAATTTTTCTAAAATGTATGTTTTCTTGAAGTTTTCCATTCAAATTATATGAAAAAGCAAATAAAGAGATGGACTATATATTGAGATATGATCGATCAGTTGAGAAGTGGTTTTCAGGAATCAGGAGTGTATCCTTCCACATTCTTTGAACAACAGACTGGACGATAAATTACATATTATTAATGTGGAAGAAAGAAGATAAGACTACATTGTCTGCTCAAATAGAAAAACATTGGTTGGAAGACGTCAAACATATTACTATTGCAGAACATGTATCAATGAACCTGCAATGCATATCAGTGACTATTTCACACGTGACCACATGTTAGAAAATATAAGATATAAAATTTTGATTTTTTTGTTATAAATAAGTTCCTCAATGTCCAAAATTCCATTATAAGCCAAATATCATTAAAATAAAATAATTGGTTTCATTTAATAGCAGTTTCAACTGATAGTTTCATCTAATAGCAGTGTAGAGAAGTAATAATACAAGCAATAGCAACAATGAACTTTT